CCCATCATCATGACTAAGGCCTGTGAAGGGGAAGGACAATGCCACGCACTGGAAAAAAGAATAACTGCAAAGATATTCTTCTTACAGATTTGAGAGAGCTCGTTTTTTCATTGGTACATGGACATCTGGAGGGGAAAAAAATCTCCTTCATACTAGTTTTCAAGTCTCCTCATTTAATAATCTATCTGCAGATAACATAGTGAGGAAGGAGGCAAGTGAGCTGCCGTCTCCACCAACCGCCTTCCTTGGCTCAAGAAGATAGGTTAGGCCTAGTGTGAAGGTAATACTTTGTACTACCCTGCAGGCAAGAATTCCAAAACATAGTCTTCCTGTTTGCTACCTTCTTAGGACGAATGGTAGCTGAAGGGACGCTAGCTGGTAAGACATAATAAGAAGATTTATTGTTAAAATTGGCCAAGTATAAAATGAGGACCGGAGAGAAGTAGAATTGGGAAGAGAGGAGCAAATGCCTTCTACTCTGTCCACATGCCTACCCATCTACCTTTTGATCAACATTGTGCTCGCCTGGATCAGCAGAATGGGATTATCTGGGTACCCATTAGAAGGACTTTTTCATTGTAAAAATAATTCCTAATGTTTACAGAGTAATTCTTCCAAAATTGCAAGCAGAGATATCACACTATGATGTCTCCAACTGATCTTATTACCAAAAGCAAAGCCAATGAAACATCTGTCTCTTCCAGAGCATTCAATTCCCAATTCAATTCCATTTACTCCATCCTTAGAACGGCAGACCCACAGGGCACTTTTCATCTAATAGTGTTTCTATGGAAACGCCATCCTCAACCTGGAAGATTCTATCGCCCCTCACATTGACTTTATCCAAATTGAGAAAAGAAAATCTTATAATTAAGAAACTGAGACAAATTTGGCTACAAACAAACAAAAATTCTAGGCTCTCAATTCACAAAAACAAACAAACAAAACTAAATTAAATAGCAAATTATGTGTATCTGACTTGCAAACAAAGTTTGTCTCTATAGGATCCTCAATATCAGTGAAAGAGTAGGGAATCCAAGAGAATGCGAATGAAAATCAATTCTCCTTGAGGATCACCTCCCTCCTGGTCAATGCCAACCAGATGCGCCACTCCTTGAATGGTTCCTTCCCCTGAATCTGCAGGGATGCATTTTAACAACCTCCACTCTTCTAAGTTTCAGGATTCTTGGGACACCCAGCAGCTCCACGCAGGAAAATATGTCACTGCATATTTTAAATAAGAACCATATTAACCGCTTTTCTATTTAGATTATATTTAAACCTGCGATATGTTAGGGTGGCGGGGGGGAGACTTGATTTTTACCTTAAACATTGTATTTATTCCTTCTCCTCATTTGCACCAGGGCACTGTGTAGCAAAATAACCGCTAATATGAAAAACACATCCAGCTTAAACATTACAACACAGCAGGTTATATTTATAGTTGGAATAATGCCCTTCAGAAAGGAAAAGAAACCTTGATGTGGCGTATGCCCCTGAACTGTCACTCTGTAGTGACTAATATGGCACTATTAAACACTTTTTAATTGTTTGCAATAATTTGTCTTCAGGCAAATGCAAGCATTTCAATTAATAAATGCTTTTATTTTTTTGTCTAATTCTCTTTTATTATCTACATGTCAGTCTTTCTTTTCAATCCCAGGGAATAGTTTCTTTTTAAGAGACCTTCTCTAGTTAGCAAAACTGGCAGATGCTCAACTAAGTAGCCTAAGCTGAAAATTTACATCAGTGAAATTTCTTTTTACCCCATAACACCAAAGTTTAAAATCTCTTCCTTTTTCTTTCATTGTTTCCATTATGCACACGTATGTCCAGCTGAGCTTGCTAGAGACTGTGAGTCCAAGAACGAAGCTTGAGCTCTCTCTTTGGAGGAGTCAAATGTGCTACTGATTAAATCTACCTGTGGATAACCAGGGAACGACACATTTTCTTATGCAGCTGGGGTGCAAATCCAGAAGGTTTTCTAAAAAATTCAGGGCCTATTCTACTGCTCTAACACACAAATGCTTCCAAGCCCTTTCAAAGGCAGATTTTGTTTTCAACTGAATAAGCCCAATGAAAAGATTGACCCATTTATTTGAAAAAGAAAACAAATAGCAATTTGCTTTTAAAGAAGTGCGTGAGGTTTTGTAATATGTCTTTGGCATTTAATAGATTGGTTTTTACAATTTTCTAATTAATTATTATTGCGATTGTTTCAATTAGCCAGCTTCTATTGCTCTTTTATATCTAGCAAGATTTAAGAAAAATTTTCTAGATAAGTTGCATTAATCATCGAGCAAGAATGTGTTACATTTAAAATCTGTACAGTCTTCCAAATGATCTGTGCATCCCTGGAGACCTCTCAGAACTTGAAATGAAGTTGCTAAAGGGTTAGTACTGAGATGTCAGTAGTGACTCACATTGGGACAAATCACAACAAAACTCTATACGTTTTTCCATAGAACTTATTATAATCAGCTCCTCACTATAAATATTACCTAAGCAGTCTGTACACTCCTTCAAGAAGTACAACAAGAGAAGGAGACGGTGTTCCTTGTAACTGGAGATTTATTTGCTCTTGCAACAAGAGAAAGGGGAAGGAAATCTTTCTCACTGGGGAAAGAGGGGAAAAAAATTAAATATACCTCCTACCTTTGCTTTTTAGATGATATTATGAGAGCACTTTCTTTTTAGAGACCATTATCATTATCAATATTTTTGTCTGAGTAGATGGCAGTGGAATGGGTCAGAGCATGTGGAACTATCCGACAAACCACGAGGTGAGGTCTATGAGCATCCATAGAGAGCCAGGGAGACCTGGAAATGGGTTCTCCTTCCAGGGTAGCGATACAGGCCAGAACAGACCCCAACCCTGAAGGAAATTGGGCAGTTCAAGAATAACTCCTATTACAATCACTCCCATAACATGTACCACTGAAAGTGTTGCAATGCAGGTAAAGTCATGCTGGCTGTTAAAAGGAATTCTTTGTTTTTTAAAGGAGATAACATAGCTCTCTGCAAGGTCCTTCACAAGGATATAACCTAGGAAACCTGATGGATGCATAAAAGAACTTGCTTCTCTCTCCTGCTTCTATCTGAACCAATATTTGATTATATTTTATTCAGGGGCACCTGAGCTGCAAATAAAGCCAAAGCTCCTTTGCCGATGGAGATGGAGGTTGACAAAATCTATTCATTTTTTCTGTTAGTACAGGAAATAGACATATTCAGGGTGGACCTGACTCTGTCCCCTCCCCACGCTCATCCTCCAGCTCAGGCTAGCTGGTTAGCACAGGTGATGAAATATCAGCAGGGTTGCATCAGCACTATTGACCAACTACCACTTCTCATCTCCTGCTGGCTTTAAAAGCCCCCTAGACCCTAGCGCCCCATCTCCCCTTCAGTAGTACCTGATAGCCCTCAGTCGCAGACGTGCAAAAGGCAGGTCTCAAACTACCCACGTACAGCAACGACTGTCAGCTAGGTAATGGCACCTGAATCAGATGGTAGGTAAACCTAATAGGATGTTAAAATCAGCTAAGCAATCTAAATCTTCAACTAACTACCAGCATTCACCAAGCCCTGAAGCTGATTCCAAACTGTCAACGTCATCTAGTAACTGTTTGGAATCACCATGGGAAGAAATGAAGGGTGGAAACCATTTTTTTTTAGTGATTCCTGCGGATGAGGGGCTGATGGCTGTTTTCACGGTTTTGATTTTATTCACACGCTGGGTGAATGTATACCCTTGAGTGTTACTGGAGGCACAGCCTCTGTCCACAGGAGCAGCACCAGCGTGGCCTTCCACGTCCTGCTTGTCTCCCTCAATCAGAACAAGTCACCGAGGACCATGGCTTTGAGAGTGGGCCAGGGTGTAAGGGTCAGCAGGTCAGGACACGTTTGTGACCATGCAAAATTAACTTTTAATACTTAAGAAAAATGTATGACTATAAGAAAAGTAAGCTATGCTAAAAATAGTAACAGAAAAGGTTTGCTCCTAAGATTTTTAAAAGGCCAAAGATTCTTCGTATTTGTTCATCTTAGGCTAGGCTACTCTACCACCTGTCTAAACCCATCCTTTGTCCCTCAGAGAGAGAGTGCCAGTCCCCTGGGTCAACAATTTTGCTGATTTTTAAAATGTTATTTTACTCATAAACTTTCTTTTTATCTTCTTCCTCGGATGTCATTAAATCTGTATGCACTTCCAAAAATATCCACCGCAATATTATGATTATAAATATTTTGAACATGAAATTCATTCAGAACAATAACCAAACCAAACAAATCCCTCGGTGGCAGAAAGCCCCAAATCTCCAGTTTCTCACATCTCCAGGAGAATTCCTGCAGTGAAAACAGCAATACTCACACAGACAATATAAACTGTTACCCGGCTTGAAAAGTCACCAGGGACTACACAGGAAGAGCTGCCTCTATATTGCTGTTTTCCTTTACAGTTCTGAATACAGGGGCCACTTTCACTGTGCAGCTCTGACTCACAGGCGCGTTTGGGAGTGGCAGCCAGTGCATTCACACCACTTAAAAGCAAATTATGTGCGCATCCTGCCATTGCAACAAGATTGAAATTTTTGCGGCCCATTCGTTATAAAGGTCCGCGAAAGCATTAGAAGAAATTAAGTCCTTCTCTCTGGGGTTTGTCTCACTTGCTTCTTACTGGGAGCTGGTGCTAAGTGCTCAAGAGGCACCCTGAGAGAAGCAACATCATTAACATGCATGCTTAAAATCACAAGTGCACATGAACTCCTACACCTTAGAACGAATGAAAGTTAACAACATTGCAATAGCGAACTTCAAATCAAACGCCTCATTGGGGGTAACGTCTTGAGGACATAAGTGCGGACACTTTTGTGAAAACTGTGGGAAGACAATGATTTATGAAATATTCCAGGTTCCGAGGGATCACTTTTCCCCCATTTTTTTTTTCTATCAAAACTGTTTCTCCATATTTAGCTTAGATATGTCATTTAGAGTCCACTTACTGTTAGATGCTGGAACAGCCACGCCCTCATGATATTTGTGGCTACTTTGGGAAAGATGCCACGCTTTTTGTGACGCTTTTTGTCCTTATCTGGATCATCATCGTCACCTGTGCTGGGGGAAGCTACACTGTTGTCCAAGCCATCACCTGCAAACATAGTGAATCAAATTTTGACTGATGCTACCTTGACATGCTTTATTCAAATAGTATGCCTTTGGATATAAACAAAACCAAAAGAGCAATATAAATGATTAATAGTTTATTTGGTACTGTTTTCCTTTTTTCTTTTTCTTTTTTCTTTTTCTTTTTTTTTTTTCCAAGACAAAGAGAAAGAACAAGGCCTAGGCTCAAAAGCGGTCAGGTCTAAGGAACTTCTTCCAAAGAACAGTGCAAAGGTCAAAGGGAATGGAGGGAAATATCCAATCTCTCTAGCAGCTCCGTTGCCATGGTAATTATTCAAATGTGTATAGCTGAGACACGTTAAGTGTAACTCCTTTTGGGGAGTTAAATATGGTGGAAGCCATTAGCAGAATTGGGCCCCTGCCTGGGTATTCCAATCCCACATGGAGTCATTGATGTCAACTTGGGAGAAGATGCATCTGAGATATCAACTATTTCCACAAGTGATCTATCTTAAGACTAAATTAGGCCATGGAAATGTAGGTGATTTGTCATATATGCAGTTTTGACATAGGAATGCTTCAAATAGAATATAATTTTTCTTGTCATAGAAAGAGAGAATCGAGTTCAGTAAGGGAAAACTCTGAAAATTGTTTTTTGATTAAAAAACAGTGACTATTTAAATCAAATAAAGTGATGTTAAATGAACAGTCCATTGGCATTATATTACCCTAATAATACAGACAGTGTCTAAAATTTCTTCCACATGTAAATTTTCTTACTGAAAAGTCACCTGCTTACACAGGTCTGGATATGGGATCCTATTTTTCTATTGATTTTTGGTAGAACATTTAAGCTCCTTCTTCTAGAAAACATTTTGGCTTTGTGACACCATAAACTTTAAAATGTAGGATTTCTTTTACAATGTCATGTCTAATAAGAAAAAAAACATTTTCAGCCCAATAAAATCACACCGTCCAAAATAAGTCATAAGGTACAAATGAAAAGGAAACACTTCGTGTTTGAGTGCAAAAGCTCAAGGAAAAACAACAGCAAACTAAACCCACTACACTGAAAAGTAGCTTCAAGCATGCATCCCTACCCGGAGCCCAGCTCTTGGTGGCAGCTGCTGGCTTTTAGAAAGGGACAGGTTGACCTGGGCCAGAAAGAAGCGCTACAGCAACAAGGCTTCGAAACGAGGTAACCAAAGTCCTCAAAGCATATTCACTGGGCCATGAAAGTCCCTGGAGAGCAGCATGCATAGCCCCAAAAAGAACTGGGTACATTTTGGTGAGACACATTTCCCGGGGACTGTATGTTGCTCCATGAATTCCCATAGTCCTTATTTCTAGTAGCCTACATATACGGCATACAAAAAGAATTCTCTCTTTTAATTTCAGTTGTTTCAGTCTCTTCTATGGCAGTTATGTTATTATCAATTACAGCTGCCTCAGGAGCCCCTCCCCCCACCCCCCAACTAGCCTTGACTGGTACTGAGTTAAAGTTTTAAAACTTTGTTGGGTGAAGACCAGACCAATTTCAACACTCCTGCTATAATTGCAGCATAAGCCACGCTCCCCCCCAAAATGCTTGCAGAACTTTTCAGAGTTTACTTTTCATTAATTTAAAAATCCATAAATTTAATTGGACTTAAAATCCATAGATTTTAGTTGAAGTTCCTACAGAATCCTAGCTGTGTTCTCAGCAGAAAAGATCACAAAGACCCACAGTGCCAAAGCCCTGGGTGTATGGATGAGGACAGTGCTTGTGTTCCTGTTGGGGGACTTGCCCAAGGTCACCGGCCTGGGCTGGAGGCAGCGGGTCTGTGCTGAGCCAGACACTCCCATCCCTAAATCTGTACTCCTTCCATCCCACCCAACTCTTTATTTGCATAACCAAGTGTTTTATAAAGCGTCCCCTTGGATTTGCCTAACAAATTCTTTGTAAGTCCAGTATTTAAAGAGGCTTTTTATTCAGAGAAGCAATTCACCATATAAAATAACAATTCATTAAAGAAACATGAGCAAAGAAAACAACTCAACAGCATTTAAAATTTCAATGGGCTAATCCACTTGCAACAGGCAAAAGGTAACCAAGGACAAGAAGCATATTACTCGATCATTGATTAAAAATGAAAAGCTGCTAACCTAACCACACAGTCTTTCACCACCATGATTGTGTGCCACCTTTAAAAAGAAAAAGGAAAAAAAAATAGCCTTTCTATCCATCTCCAAACCCCCTCAGATTAATTTAGCAGGCAATGCCTAGTGCCTGCCTAGAAGAGAATTCATTGATAATTTATGGAAATATCTACTATAATCCAGCAGAGATGACTTTTTTCCAGCTTTGTGCATCAATAGATAATCAAGGCCTTAAAGCAGCCTTAGCTTCCCATTACCTCGGGCAAAAGAATTCCTGAAAGCGTGCCTTGAGGGCACCTGAATTATATACTCCATTAGGAGAGGAAGGCTTTCTGCATTCCATGTGTAACACTCGCCAGAACCTTTCCTGTTTATTTCTGCTGTATGAAAGCAGAAGCATTAGGAACAGAGTTTTTTAAGTGAAGACTTATGTAGATACAATGGAGCAACCTTTCAAGCCGGAGCCAGATCACTCCCTTCAGTCCCTGCCAGTGACCTCTCCCGAATAAAAGGTTTCTATTACATCATTAGCTCAAGCCAAAAACAGCCTTGGCTTAACGCACAGTTTGTTCTTCCTACTGTTTTTAGGCAAATACAGCTACTTTACTCCCATCTGGGAGGGAAATTACACTGCTGGGTTGTAATCTAAGACAAGATTTTCATTGGAAGCAAATGCTTTCAATCCAGTGTAAATACTGGTGCATGTTCAGAAAAGCCTAAAATAATAAACCCTGCTCCTTCCCGACACAAGTTAGGGAAATGGAGAAGATGGGGACCCAGAAGAGAGCATAATAAAACACACTATTCTAAAAGCAAACACTTGCGTAGATTTTAATAAATTGTTTAACCTCCCCCGCTTTTTAAAAATGGAAAAGGGATCTCGCCCCGTCCCTGCTTCCGAGGGCCGTCTCCATGGTCAGTTGTACCTTTAGCGTATCCACTCACGCTGCAATTGGATACAGTCACCTCTCTGCAGTCTCTGGAGGATTTATTTCCTTTTTTTATTTTTAAGATCACTAAACAAACTTGGAGAACCGCCGGCCGACCACACGGCAGCAGGCCGCAGCTCTGAACCACATTTGTAAAATGTCAGCCGTGACTTCATTCCTGGAGCTGACTTCTCCTGCCGCCAAATGAAGGCAAACTGAAAAGGTGGAAATAATCATAAAAATGATGCTAGTCCATAAACAAGCTTACAGCCTCATTAGGACAGCAGTAGGCTCCAGTGGGTGATTTATGCTCGTTTTGCTGATGCTATGAGGAAATGCCATAGGGCGACTTTGGCCAATCGCTAATGGTTTCTGACAGCTTCTTAGCAACTAGTGCAAGCAACGTTGTGGCGTTTGCTAGTGACAGAAACCGAAAATGTCATATTATCTGCCCATGTGTCATGAAGTCCGTGTGGCAATTAACTAGCAGGCCAGTGACTGAGGGGCAGGAGGCTTCTGAAAATGGCCTTTGGCTATGCAGAGGCAGCGGGCGCTGGGCGCAGACCGGCTGCTCATATGCAACATTCTAATGCAGAAATCCACTTCCTTGCCACTTCCAGGCTCTGATGGGTACGGGCCACTCAAATCCTCCCCCGCCCTCAATCCCCCTCAGTGAAGTGAAACTCAAGGCTCCTCTCTCTCTAGGCCCCAGCTCTGGCTGTTCTCAGAAAGCGATCTGCTTTGAGAGGAGCATCCGAATGGCTCCTTAATTGGCAATACCTGGTTCTGTGCTTTCTGGACGTTGGATTCAAAGATGCCAGCTGTTCTGGGGCTCTCTCCCAAATGGGTCCGAAAGGACTGAAGATCACTGACGCAGGCGCACTGCCTGTCAGGTTGCTGGGAGCAGAGCAACTGGGTGCCGCAACAAGACACTGCTTTAAAAAACACCAGTCTTCTAACAAGAAGGACTGGGGGGAGAGAATCTTGGCCACACTTTTCCGTTTCCGAGCTATCAGAACCCTGCTCTATATGTCAAACTGTCAAGCCTTTCAGCGTGGGCCATTTGCCCTTTCAAATAATATTTAAGAATTGTTTTTACAAAATTTTATAGGCCATGGTCTAGTGAAAGAGGCCAACCAACAAAGAAAGGAATTTGTACTACAATTCGTCTACGGACAATTTCTTGCGAGACCTGGGCCTGTCCCTGCGGAGCGAGGCAGGTGACCTGTGGCAGCTCCCTGGCTGTCAGAGAGCTCAGATTTCAAACACGCTCAGCTCAAACATCCCGAGTCGCCTATTTAAGCATGCCCAGGCATTTAGGCTGTGCTATCTCGTGCCTTTCAAGGCAGGATAAAGCGGCATTTATCGCATTCAGGCCATTCAATGGGTCAGACTGACCGTGTCAGCAGGGGCTCCTCTCCAGCAGGTCAAAGCCCTGCTCCCACTTTTCTCTTCCTCCTAACTCCCCCACCCCCAGAACTGCCATTCCCAAAAACCTGCTCCGAGAGAGCGAGGCTGAAACAAAACCCAGAAAAGTGCCTGAGATTGACATCACCACCGACCGGCACTTCCCCCGCCAGCCGGCCAGCAGATTTATAAATAAAATGAGGTGTTGGTCAGAGGGACCTTTATGTCACAGAGGCAAAACTTCTAACGACGGGTCTGAACTTTCTGCTGCGGGGCAAACGGATGTGTAAGGTTGGGGACCCCCCTGTTTTGCTGGAAGTCGAACTGGAAGCCACCACAGCTGCAGGGTCATTCCATCTACAATTTTGTATGGAGGCGCTGTAGTTTCAGGACACATCCACTCCTTAAGCTTCACTTTTCCCTTCCTCAAGTGTTTAGAAATATATAGTGTTTGTCCAAAAAATGGACCTCAACTGAAACATCAAGGCCATTTATAATCCTATCTTTCAATACTGACCAAATTCTGTTGTGTCTTTTTTTTTTAAATTAA